CAAGAAGGGGGCTGTGTGAAGTTATGGTTGCTCTAATTAACCCTGTCTGTACTGTGCTGCCAGATCTCGTTATCAGTTGTGAACTAGATTTGAACACGGTCTGTCCTAACAAGGGGTTAAAGATTTAGACGCATTGTATGTTAATGAGAGGAAGCTCACTGTCCCTCAGTTTGTCCCTCTACTTTCACTTTCAAACTGCTCAGAGTAGCCTGGAATCTACACAAAGGCCTTCACCAAAGACACGTGTAAAAAGATAAAGAATTTTTATCTTTTTAAAAGTATTTTTCAGTATGTTGTTTATGGGAACACGTAACTAACATATAGAGGGGCTTTCTCAAATTTAACTGCAAATGTGGAAATACACTTTCTTTAAAGAAAATATATTAAAAAAATGTATTAACCCTTGCAGTCGGGGGTTAAGTGCTTGTTCGTGTCTAGCCTCAAAAGTTATACTCACCCGAAGCTCCGAGTTGGCGTCTTCATAGACCCGACCGGTCCATCCAACGTCTCTCCCCCTATTATTATTATTATTATTATTACATAGTATTTATATAGCGCCAACAGTTTGTGCAGTGCTTTACAATGTAAGGAAGACATTACAATTACAATACAATTCAAGACAGGATGGTAAGGAGGGCCCCCGCCCCTGAGGGCTTACAATCTGGCCTATCCTCTGCAGTGGTCTAAGGTCCAATAAATTATCAATGTCTATACACAGTGTATAGACATGAGGATGCTGAAGAAGATTCAAAAGCTGCAGGGAGGGGGAGACAGGCTGGAGGGAGCACTGTGACAGCTTCCAGTGAGTATAGCTTTGTTATTTCGGCACCCAGTCAAAAACAAGCACTTAACCCTTGCAGTGCAATGGTAATGTTTAGATAAAATATAAAATGGTTGGCACCTCTGTAAGCTTTTTATTGCAGCCTGTTTCCTGTCCGAGGTACTTGAAATTTTTGGATATAAAGAGAAGGTGGTCTTTATTTATCCAAATATTTAAAGTTGTCACAGGAATAGGAATACTGGGGAAATATTCCAATGGGGAAAACTGTTCAGGTGAGTGGTCACAACTGATGAAGTGATGATAAATCTTCCAAACAGTCTGAGAGTCCAAAAACGTTTAATAATAGCATTATTTCACAATCTACAATCCAGCACATTTCAGGACTTAAAGACCTCCCCTTTTTCACTTATTTACAGATTCTGGGTCTACCCTATTGTAATCTCCTTTTGATTCAGGCCAGCTTTGAACATGTATGGTTATGAAGAAGGGGGATTTTGTGTGTTTGTAAACCAATACTATTATTCAAAGCGTTTGGACTCTCAGACTGTTTGATTGGCGCTCTCATTAGACCTTCAACACATGAAGCTTCATATCTGACCCTCTCGTTTGAGGCACATCCCATCTTTGTCAAGAGCTACCTCACCAGAGCCATTGTGGTTTATCCAGACCTGACCAATCTTCTGATCATTTAAATCCAGCACCTCGCCTCTACTTTTTACAGAGTAATAAAAAGCTGACAGGGATTCTACTTTTTCCCTACTCTACTAAAACAACATTTTTAATTTTTTTCATCTGTGATCCTGTTGTAGTAACGGCATTATACCTGACTCCTGACCTCTAAACTCTGTGTTACATACCAATGCTGTGTACAACACCAATCCTGTGTTCTGCTTAACTACTGACCCCTGCACTTGGGAATACATACTGCTGACCTCTGAACTCTGCATTACGTACTCCTGATTTTCAACACATTCTGACCTATACTCAACTGGATGTTGAATTCTGCATTACTTCCTACTGACCTCTGCACTCTGCTTACTCCTGACCCCTGCACTGTGCATTATATACTACTGACCTCTGCATTCTGCTGTGTGTGTAACCCCTGTACTGTGCATTACATATTACTGACCTCCGCACTCTACTTACTGCTGACCCCTGCACTGTGCATTACAAACTACTGGGCTCCGCACTTTGCTTTGCTTACTCCTGACCCCTGCACTGTGCATTACATACTATTGACCTCTACACTCTGCATTACTTGCTCCTGACCCCTGCACTGCGTACTACTGACTAGTGCACTCTGCTTTACTTTCTCCAGACCCCTGCACAATGCATTACATAATACAGACCTCTAAACTCTGTAACTACTGCACACTGTGCTACATATGACTGACTTCTGAACTCTGTGTTACATACTGTTGACTCCTGTATTCTACAGTACTACTGACCCCTGCACTCTGCATTACATACTGCTGAATCTGAACTCTGTGTTACATACTATTGGCTCCTGTACTCTGCGTTACTACTGACCCCTGCACTCTGCATTACATACTGCTGACTTCTGCACTTTGCGTTACGTACTCCTGAGTCCTGGCGAATTCTGCCTTACATAGTTCTGACTGCTTGAATCTTCAGACCTTCCTTACTTTTAATGGGGTCTTCATTCGTTATCTCCTTGAAAAAAACAAGCACACTGCACCCTGATGATCTTTTATCTCTTCCATATTGTTCAAGTAGATCTCCACCTGTTCAAGGTTGCCTACCCCTGCATTACATAATGTCCAGGGAAGCAACCTTATGGGTCCCAAAAACTTAAATCTTGAATAAAGTTAGCCAAAAAAAAAGAGTGTCACTTAAACTGTAAACATTCTGCATTTGTACTTTATGGATTTAAATCTTTATGGATTTTTTGACAAGACACCACTACTTCCAAAATAAAAAATAAAACTGGGCTAGAGTTTGACTTTATTTGTTTGCTCCTTGCATTGATTATGCCAGCTAAGACTATTAAAGGAGAACTATGAGATGAGTGATTTCCACTCACCTCATAGTTCTAGCCGACCTGTGACAATGAGACTGACTGTCACAGGTCGGCTCAGTAGATCGGGAGGTGAGCGAACACATATAAGAACGGGCGGGGGGGGGGGCGGGTACAGCTGGCTCTGCCTCTATATAGGCAGAGCCAGCTGTCACTCACGCAGCTGGGCGGATCCCGACGTCCAGGTCGGGATCCGCTCTGGCAGCGGCGTCTCAGTATTCCGCGAGGAATTTATTTATTGTTTATTTATTTATTTATTGCTTTGCTCAATGAGGTAAAGTGATTACCTGACAAAACAACCCAGGACCTATTGATATCTTTGCCATGCTTCCCCACTGCTCTGCTAAGGCCTATAG